GTTCCTTTGAGCGACTTCGTTTCACCGAACGGCGGCGTTTGTGATTCTTTGAGCGACTTCGTCTCCTTACTGAAGACCATTGCCGCTTGTTTACCTAAATTGAAAGTTGCTCTCATTTCAGCAAAGTATGATGGCCTACACTTTTTAGTTACACTAAAGATCTAATTTTTCCTGAAATCTGAGATATTGTTATGCAACCTTGGATCTTGCTTGCAAACTGAGCATTCGAGTGAACTCGTCGTATTCTCCCAGATGTTTCGAGCGGCGATTTCTCTGTTTATATGAGTAGTGGCTTCTCATTGCCTTGGGGAAGTACAGTTTCATCAAGGCTGCGTAACTCTGAATGAGAGGCGAAGCTCATTAGTTGTTCGAAAATCGAAAAAAATACTCTGCGATTTTTGTGAAAGTTCTTGCCAAACGGACCCTAGGTTTCCTTTTCTTTAGAGCTTTTAATTGCAGACTGCGTTGACGTCTGGACAACTTCTTGTTGTCAATGATGGCTTCAAAGCGCTTCTTCGTAGCAGTCACTGAAGATAAAAATGCACTGGATCGCTTTTTTGCTGCAGTCCATTGCCTCTTCATACGCAGTCGTCTGTATATCTGTGAACCCTAAATGGTGAAATTTTATCGTTTTTTTTCAACCTTTCCCCTGGAAAAGAAGGCTTGATAAACCTTTCCGTAGTGTCCAGCATTTGTTTTGGACTGCGTCACAACGAATACGGTGACCAACACGAGAAGAAGCAGCAACAACTTATTCATCCTGCATACCCTTTGAAGTCCAAACTGTCGCGAAAATATGTCAGATTTCTAAAACCGAAGATGTCAACGATTCAACTATAGAAGGTAGCGAGAAATACAGTCCTCATCATTGCGGACCGGTGGGCGTGTCAGTGCGGCTGCGTTTGGCGCGGTGCCAAAGTCGTTCTGCACCAGTTGTTGAAGCGGGCAAGTGACATTACTGTATTATATCCTTCGTATTACTCGTTTTCTACCACTTTTTGTCGCATACGCGTTTCAAAAGGCTGAGAACGGCTTCAACAGTGTGCACACTCATACTGGCTGACACGCCCCACCGGTCCGCAATGATGAGGACTGTACGTGCGCGATGCACTTGATTCCATGCTCAACAGTGCATAGAATCAAGTGCATCGCGCTCGTATTTCTACAGTACAGTACACTATACAGTAAGTCCCACTAATTGTACTAACAACTAACTGAGCGGCTACTTCCGCTCTCGCTGTGGTGGACTGGGTGAGTCTTTCCTCATTCGGGATTTTCGGATGGTTTTCTCAACAGTCTGTCAGAAACGTTAGGGAAAGGGAGATCTTTGGCGGTGTAGAGAGAGCAATTTCAAACCATGAGCCACGTTTAGGCCTCTGATGAAGACGATCTAGTCGAAACGTCAGGCCATAATAAAAGTTCCACCTACCAACCTCGTGTGCACAGAAGAATTTATCAAATGTAACAACAATGCCGAGGTTTTACGAAGAGAGAAGTTGGACACTACTCCATAGAGTTTCTCTGCATACTTGCTCATGCTATACTGTCAAATTTAGGGGGAATGCTGGTCTAATTTTAACTACAAATGGGATTGTGCTTCAGTCCGTAGGGCACATTCATGTGGGCTTGAGCTTGTACACACACTGCTCAGGCGTTCAGTCAGGAGGAGGAGCTAACTTT